CTGTCACCAGTGTTCTTGTCATTACCTGTCACCTGTGTGTGTTTCTGTCATTACCTGTCACCTGTGTGTGTTCCTTGCATTACCTGTCACCTGTGTGTGTTCCTGTCATTACCTGTCACCGTGTTTCCTGTCATTACCTGTCACTGTGTGTGTTCCTGTCATTACCTGTCACCTGTGTGTGTTCCTGTCATTACCTGTCACCAGTGTGTGTTCCTGTCATTGCCTGTCACCTGTGTTCTGTCATTGCCTGTCACCTGTGTGTTCCACCCATTTTCCATGCCAAGTTTGGTCCAGATCGTGAAGTAGTTTCCGAGTTTCCGTGACACACGCAGACAAACAGACAGACACAGACAGACAGATAGACTTTTTGTTTTTATATACACTAGAAGAATCGACGCCCTCCTATCATCTGCTAGGCATCCTCCGGGAGCTCCACATTGTCTCACTGTTCAGTCCCCAAAACTTCTTTCACTAAGTTTTTTCACGCAAATTTGTTTAGCATTAAACTGATATTATTTTATTGTCTAATCATTACTACATATAACACCACCCATCATCACTACATATAAACACCCATCACTCCATCATCACATATAACACCACCCATCAACATATGACAACATCATCACTACATATACCATCCATCATCACTACATAAACACCATCCATCATCACTACATAAACATCCATCATCACTATAACACCACCCATCATCACTACATATAACACCACCCATCATCACTACATATAACACCACCATCATCACCACATATAACACCATCCATCATTACTACATATAACACCATCCATCATTACTACATATAACACCATCCATCATCACTACATATAACACCATCCATCATCACAACATATAACACCATCCATCATCACTACATATAACACCATCCATCATCACTACATATAACACCATCCATCATCACTACATATAACACCAACCATCATCAATACATATAGCACCACCCATCATCACTACATATAACGCCATCCATCATCACTACATATAATGCCATCCATCATCGCTACATATAACCACCCATCATCACTACATATGACAACATCCATCATCACTACATATAACACCATCCATCATCACTACATATAACACCATCCATCATCACTACATATAACACCATCCATCATCACTACATATAACACCACCCATCATCACTACATATTACGCCATCCATCATCACTACATATAATGCCATCCATCATCGCTACATATAACCACCCATCATCACTACATATGACAACATCCATCATCACTACATATAACACCATCCATCATCACTACATATAACACCATCCATCATCACTACATATAACAACAGTCATCATCACTACATATAATATCATCCATCATCACTACATATAACACCATCCATCATCACTACATAACACCATCCATCATCACTACATATAACACCATCCATCATCACTACATATAACACCATCCATCATCACTACATATAACACCATCCATCACTACATATAACACCATCCATCATCATACATATAACACCATCCATCATCACTATAACAACAGCCATCATCACTACATATAACATCATCCATCATCACTACATATAACACCATCCATCATCACTACATATAACACCATCCATCATCACTACATATAACAACAGTCATCATCACTACATATAATATCATCCATCATCACTACACATAACAATCATCATCACTACATATAACACCATCCATCATCACTATAACAACAGCCATCATCATCACATATAACACCATCCATCATCATACATATAACACCATCCATCATCACTATAACAACAGTCATCATCACTACATATAATATCATCCCATCATCACTACATACAACACCATCCATCATCATATAACACCATCCATCATCACTACATATAACACCATCCATCAATACATATAATATCATCCATCATCCATCACTACATATAACACCATCCATCACCACCATCCATCATCAACATATAACACCATCCATCATCACTGCATATAACACCATCCATCATCACTACATATAACACCATCCATCATCACTATAACAACAGCCATCATCGCTACATATAACATCATCCACACATCATTACATATAACACCATCCATCATCACTACATATAACACCATCCTTCATCATCACTACATATAACACCATCCATCATCACTACATATAACACTACCCATCATCACTACATATAACACCATCCATCATCACTACATATAACACCATCCATCATCACTACAATAACATCTCACATATAACACCATCCATCATCACTACATATAACACCACCCATCATCACTACATATAACACCATCCATCATCACGACATAAAACGCCATCCATCATCACTATAACAACAAATCATCACAACATATAACACCATCTATCAACACTACATATAACACCATCCATCATCACTACATATACCATCCATCATCACTACATATAACACCATCCATCAGCATCACATACAACTCCATCCATCATTACTACATATAACACCATCCATCATCACTGACAACATCCATCATCACTATAAAACACCATCCATCATCACTTATAACAACAGTCATCATCATCATATAACACCATCCATCATCACATATAACAAACATCAATACATATAACATCAGCCATCATCACTATATAACACCATCCATCATCACTACATATAACACCGTCCATCATCACCATATAACACCATATCATCACTACATATAACACCATCCATCATCACTACATATAACACCATCCATCATCACTACATAACACCATCCATCATCACTACATAACACCATCCATCATCACTACACATAACTCCATCCATCATCACCACATAACCCATCCATCATCACTACATATAACACCATCCATCATCACTACATATACCATCCATCATCACTACATATAACACCATATATCATCACGACATATAATACCATCCATCATCACTACATATAACACCATCCATCATCACTACATATAACACCATCCATCATCACTACATATAACACCACCCATCATCACAACAGATCGGTAAAGTAGTTTCCGAGATTCATATACATTGCATCACCACTATACACACATCATCACCATACTCTTTGTATCACCACTATACACACATTATCACCTTACACTTTGTAATACCACTATACACACATCATCACCATACTCTTTGTATCACCACTATACACACATTATCACCATACACTTTGTATCACCACTATACACTCATCATCACCATACTCTTTGTATCATCACTATACACATCATCACCATACTCTTTGTATCACCACTAGACACTCATCATCACCATACTCTTTGTATCATCACTATACACACATCATCACCATACTCTTGCACCTCACTAGACACACATCACCACAATCTTTGCATCACCACCATACACACATGATCACCACACTTGCATCACCACTATACACACATAATCACCATTCTTTGTAATTAATACACACACATGATCACCATACTCTTTGTATCACCACTACACACACATGATCACCATACGCTTTGTATCACCACTATACACACATCATCACCACACACTTTGTATCACCATCATACACACATCACCATACTTTTGTGTATCACCACTATACACACATCATCACCACACTCTGTATCACCACCATACACACATCATCACCACACACTTTGTATCACCACTATACACACATGATCACCATACACTTTGTATCACCACTATACACACATCATCACCATACACTTTGTATCACCACTATACACTCAACACCATACTCTTTGTATCACCACTATACACACATCATCACCACACACATGATCAATATACACTTTGTATCACCACCATACACACATCACACTCATAATTTTGTGTATCACCACCATACACACACCATCACCATAATTTTGTATCACCACCATACACTCATCATCACCATACTTCTGTATCATCACCACTATACACACATCACCATACACTTTGCATCATCACCACTATACACACATGATCACCATACACTTTGTATCACCACCATACACAATATCATCACCATACTTGTGCATCACCACTATACACACATCATCACCATATCACTCTGTATCACCACTATGCACACATCATCACCATACACTTTGTATCACCACTATACACATGATCACCATACACTTGTATCACCACTCATACACACATCATCACCATACACTTTGTATCACCACTATACACATCATCATCATACTTTTGTATCACCACTATACACACACGTCACCATAATTTTGTATCACCAATTATACACACATGATCACCATACTCTCTGTATCACCACTATACACACATGATCACCATACTCTTTGTATCACCACTATACACACATGATCACCATACTTTTGTATCACCACTATACACACATCATCACCATACACTTTGTATCACCACTATGTACATTACATAACACCACACAAATAATACAGTTTGTTTACGTTTGTACTGTATCTAAGCTCACTTTATCTTGCTACAATAATTGGAGACGTTGGTAGGTGTTTGATGGTATGTTATAAAAAAGATTTGTCCTTCGATCTTTAAAATGGAAACAAAATTTATGAAATCGATCGATTTCTAAGGAAATCTAATGTAGATTAAACAAGAAATGTAAGTTCTAATTTACATTACTTTGCAAGGGCCGGTTGTCGACAACCGTTTTGGTCAAAGAAATCGACCTTGGTGAGAATACTGCTAAAGGATAAGGATGCTGTCCTTGTGAGCTACTTCAAACTGTATAAGGAGAAGTTTACCGAAAATTTAATTATATTGCCACACGAAGAAACCTTAATATAAAGGTGTAAAATTAATGAGAGGCATTCGACCCTGTCAAAGTAAAGATCCCGGCCTCTGACTTACTACAAGGAGAAGTGATTTTCCTTCCTCAGACAACATTACTCCTACGGCAATAATATATCACGTGACCGAGGAGGCCTCAGGACGAGGAGGCCTGAGACCGCGGAGGCCTCAGACCGACGAAGCTCTCCGTGATCGAGGACGCCCCCGGCTGAGGACGCCTCCGTGGCCGAGGAGGCCTCCAGACCGAGAGGAGGCCTCTGTGACCGAGGAGGCCTCCGTGACGAGGACGCCTCCGTGATCGAGGACGCCTCTGCGACCGAGGACGCCTCCGTGACCGAGGACGCCTCCGTGACCGAGGACGCCTTCCGTGACCGAGGACGCGCCTCTGTGACTGAGGACGCCTGTGACCGTGGACGCCTCCAGGCCGAGGACGCCTCTGTGACCGTGGACGCCTCCGTCACCCAGGAAGTCTCAGTCTTTAACGGACGCCGAGTTTGGTTTCAATCTTCAGGGGACTCCTGTATCTCGGGGACGACTCATTCTTCGAGAATGACTATCCGGAGGACGCCTCAGTGATGGCTATTACAGAAATGAGCTTATCGGCAGGTCTGGTTTCGAAGGTTTGGTGTAAATATGCTATTAGTAAAATGTATCTATGCGCTTGATGCCCCAGATGAATGCTTTGTGGGCTAGTTTCTTATTCTGTTGTGTTAGTGTGCCTTATAATGATGTTTTTTATAAAATGGTGTTTGAAACGTTCCCTATGAAAATGAGTTTCAAAAAACAATGAAAAAGGCAAATGATTTTTTTCTTGTTTAATTATTCACTTATCCACTACACCGTTATCTACATTCACTAATAATTATCAACACCTACATGACAACCAATGCACTATTATCTACACTCACAACCAATGCACTATTATTCCATAATTCTACAACCACGCAATTATTATCTACACTCACAACTAATGCACTATTATCTAATTCCCACAACTAATGCACTATTATCTACACTACAACCAATGCACTATTATCTACACTTTAACTAATTTTAACTATTATCTACACTACAACCAATGCACCATTATCTGCACTACAACCAATGCACTATCTACACTACAACTAATGCACTATTATCTACACTCACAACTAATGCACTATCATCTACACTACAACCAATGCACTATTATTCACACTACAACCAATGCACTATTATCTACACTAACCAATGCACTATTATCTACACTACAACCAATGCACTATTGTCTACTACAACCAATGCACCATCACTCACACTACAAGTAATGCACCATTATTCACACTACAACCAATGCACTATTATCTACACCATCTAATGCACTATCACCTACACTCACATCTAATGCACTATCACCTACACTACAAAACTAATGCACTATTATCTACACTACAACCAATGCACTATTATCTACACTACAACTAATGCACTATCACCTACACTACAAGTAATGCACTATTATCTACACTACAACAATGCACTATTATCTACATCATATCTAATGCACTATCACTACACTACATCTAATGCACTATCACCCACACTACAAGTAATGCACTATTATCTACACTACAACCAATGCACATTATCACCTACACTCATCTAATGCACTATCATTTACACCACACTAATGCACTATTATTTACACCTTTACCTAATGCACTATTATTCACACAGCACACTTCACATTCACACTACAATGCACTATTATGCCACTACACTCACACGCATTATCTACACTGCACTACATCTACACTACACTAATGCATTCCACATACACTACACTACCTGCACCACATTCACACTCACACTGGTACTCACTTGCCAACTCAATGCATTATTACCTACACTACAACTACACTCAATGCCATTCACACTAATGCACTTAATTCACACTACAACTAACACATCTACACACTAATGCACTATTCACATTCATACTAATGCACCATTATCTACACTACAACCAATGCACCATTCACACTACAACCAATGCACTATCTACACACCACGCACTATTATCACACTACAACCAATGCACTATTCATGACTGCAACCAATGCACTATCTACACCACAACTAATGCACATCATCACACCAACCAATGCACTATTCACACTCCAACTAATGCACACTGTTATCTACTCTACACCACGTCATTATTCACACTGTGTTCAATGCATTATTATCTACACTCAACTAATGCACTACAGTCTACACTGACCACGCACTATTATTACCTCAACCAATGCACTATTATTCATTGCACTAATGCATAATTACATTGTTAATTATTCTGCACTTCATAATTCACCATTCACACTCATCGCACTATTAGTGCCAATTACAATTAATGAACTATTATATAATTACAATTAATGCATTATCTATTACTATAAACTCAATGCATTCATTATCTACATTGCATTAATGCATTCACACTACAATCATTATTGCACTATTCATACCACAACCAATGCACTAGTTGGGTGTAGATAATAGTGCATTAGTTGTGTGCAGATAATCGCATAGTTGTAGTGTAGATACAGTTCATTAGTTGTGTGTGTGTGATAGTGCATTAGTTGTAGTGTAGATAATAGTGCATTAGTTGGTGTAGGTGATAGTATTAGTTGTAGTAGATAATAGTACATTAGTTGTAGAGTAGATAATAGTGCATTATTGTAGTGTAGATAATAGTGCACAGTTGTAGGTGTAGAAATATTAAGGTAGATAATAGTGCATTAGTTGTAGTGTAGATATAGCATTAGTTGTAGTGTAGATAATAGTGCATTAGTTGTAGTGTAGATAATAGCATTAGTTGAAGTGCAGATAATAGTGCATTAGTGTGAGTGTAGATAATAGTGCATTAGTTGTGTGCAGATAATAGTGCATTAGTTGTTGCGTAGATAATAGCATTAGTTGTAGTGTAGATAATAGTGCATTAGTTGTAGTGTAGATAATAGCATTAGTTGTAGTGTAGATAATAGTGCATTATTGTTGTGTAGATAATAGTGCATTAGTTGTAGTAGATAATAAGTGCATAATAGTGTGTAGATAAGCGCATTAGTTGTAGCAGATAAGTGCATTAGTTGTGTGTAGATAATAGCATTAGAAAGTGTAGATAATAGTGCATTAGTTGTGTGTAGGTGATAGTGCATTAGTTGTAGTGTAGATAATAGTGCATTAGTTGTAGTGTAGATAATAGTGCATTAGTTGTAGTGTAGATATAGTGCAATAGCTGTAGTGTAGATACAGTGCATTAGTTGTAGTAGATAATAGTGCATTAGTTGTAGGTGTAGATAATAGTGCATTAGTTGTAGTGCAGATAATAGTGCATTAGTTGTAGTGTAGATATAGTGCATTAGTTGTAGTGTAGATACAGTGCATTAGTTGTAGTGTGATAATAGTGCAAGGTAGTGTAAATAATAGCAATATTGTGTGAGGTGATAGCATTTAGATGTGAGTATAGTGATAGTTGTGTAGATAATAGCATTAGTTGTAGTGTAGGTGATAGTGCATTAGATGTAGTGTAGGTGATAGTGCATTAGATATAGTGTAGATAATAGTGCATTAGTTGTAGTGTAGATAATAGTGCATTAATGGTGTAGGTGATAGTGCATTAGTTGTAGTGTAGAATAGTGCATTAGTTGTGAGGGATAATAGTGCATTAGTTGCAGTGTAGATAATAGTGCATTAGTTGTAGTGTAGATAATAGCATTAGTTGTAGGTAGGTAATAGTATTAGCAGTAGTGTGATAAGTGCATTAGTTGTAGTGTAGATAATAGTGCATTAGTTGTAGTGCAGATAATAGTGCATTAGTTGTAGTGTAGATATAGTGCATTAGTTAAAGTGTAGATAATAGTGCATTAGTTGTAGTGTAGATAATAAAATAGTTGCATGGTAGATAATAGCATTAGTTGTAGTGAGATAAGGCATAGTTGTAGTAGATAATAGTGCATTAGTTGTAGTGTAGATAATAGTGCATTAGTTGTCATGTAGGTGATAGTGTAGTGAATGTAGATAACAGTGTAGTGGATAGAGTGAATAATCTAAACAAGAAAAATCATTTGCCCTTTTTTCATTATTTTTAAGGCTCATTTCCTTATGAACGTTTCAAACACCACATTTTATAAAAAAACATCATTATGAGGCACACTAACACAACAGAATAAGAAACTAGCCCACAAAAGCATTCATCTGGGGCATCAAGCGCATAGATACATTTTACTAATAACATATTTACACCAAACAGCCCGAGGAAACAGACCACCGATAAACTCATTTCTGTTAATAACGCCATCACTGAGGCGTCCCTGGATAAGTCATTCTCGAAGAATGAGTCGTCCCCGAGGATACAGGAGTCCCTGAAGATTGAGGCAAACTCGGCGTCCGTTAAGACTGAGACTTCCTGGGTGACGGAGGCGTCCACGGTCACGGAGGCGTCCTCGGCCACGGAGGCGTCCACGGTCACGGAGGCGTCCTCGGTCACGGAGGCGTCCTCGGTCACGGAGGCGTCCTCGGTCACGGAGGCGTCCTCGATCACGGAGGCGTCCTCGGTCACGGAGGCGTCCTCGATCACGGAGGCGTCCTCGATCACGGAGGCCTCCTCGGTCACGGAGGCCTCCTCGGTCACGGAGGCCTCCTCGGCCACGGAGGCGTCCTCGGCCACGGAGGCGTCCTCGATCACGGAGGCTTCGTCGGTCACTGAGGCCTCCTCGGTCTCGGAGGCCTCCTCGGTCACTGAGGCCTCCTCGGTCACGTGATATATTATTCTGCCGTAGGAGTAATGTTGTCTGAGGGAAGGAAAAATCACTTCCTCTCCTTGTAGTAAGTCAGAGGCCGGGATCTTTACTTTTGACAGGGTCCGAATGCCTCTCATTAATTTTACCTTTATATTAAGGTTTTCTTCGTGTGGCAATATAATTAAATTTTCGGTAAACTTCTCCTTATACAGTTTGAAGTAGCTCACAAGGACGGCATCCTTATCAGCAGCAGTATTCTCACCAAGGTCAAGTTTCTTTGACCAAAACGGTTGTCGACAACCGGCCTTACCCAAAGTAATGTAAGTGGGAGGCTTACATTTCTTGTTTAATGTACATTAGATTTCCCTTAGAGAAATCGATCGATTTTGTAAATTTTTGTTTTCCATTTTAAAGATCGAAGGACAAATCTTTTTATAACTTACATACCTACATCAAACACCTACCAACGTCTCCAATTATTGTAGCAAGATAAAAGTGAGCTTAGATACAGTACAAACGTAACAAAACTGTATTATTGTGTGGTGTTATGTAATGTACATAGTGGTGATACAAAGTGTATGGTGATGATGTGTGTATAGTGGTGATACAAGAGTATGGTGACCATGTGTGTATAGTGGTGATACAAAGAGTATGGTGATCATGTGTGTATAGTGGTGACAGAGAGTATGGTGACTATGTGTATAGTGGTGATACAAAGAGTATGGTGACGTGTGTATAGTGGTGATAAAAGAGTATGGTGATGATGTGTGTATAGGTGATAAGTGTATGTGATGATGTGTGTATAGTGGTGACAAAGTGTATGGTGACTGTGTGTGTATAGTGGTGATACAAAGTGTATGGTGATGATGTATAGTGGTGATACAGAGAGTATGGTGATGATGTGTGTATAGTGGTGATACACAAAGTATGGTGATGATGTGTGTATAGTGGTGATAAAGTGTGGTGATATGTGTATAGTGGTGATACAAAGTGTATGGTGATGATGTGTATAGTGTGATACAGAGTAGTGGTGATGATGAGGTATAGTGGTGATACAAAGAGTGGTGATGATGTGTGTATAGTGGTGATACACAAAGTAGGTGATGATGTGTGTATAGTGGTGATAAAGTAGCAATACGTAACCGAACGAAGCACCTGA